ACTGATCTATAGATTTAATGAATTCCAATCAAAATTTTAGCAGGGTTTTTTTTTGATACAAAATTGATTCACTGTTTCTGAAATTCTGTAGGCCAGGCACAGTGGCTTACGCCTGTAATCCCGGTACTTTGGGAGGCCGAAGTGGGAGGATCCCTTGAACCCAGGAGTGTGAGACCAGCCTGAGCAACATAGCAAAACCTTATCTCTACAAATTAAAGACATAATAATGAGCTGAGCATGGTGGTGGCTCCAGGTGTTCAGGAGGCTGAGGCGGAAAGATCACTTCAGCTTAGGCAGTTGAGGCTGCAGTGAGCTGTGATCACGCCACTGTACTCCGCCCTGGCAGACAGAGTGAAACCACATCTCAGAAAAATAAATTTTATTTAATTTAGTTTAAAAACAAAATTCAGTAAAGGATCTAGAAGAGCAAACTCAACTTCGAAAATGATTAACACAGTAGGAGGACTTACACACCTGACTTGAAGACCTATGACGAAGCAGCAAGAATCAAGACAGCATGGTATCGGTGTCAAGATAGACAGCTAAACAGATCGATGGACTGGATTGGTGAGTCCAGCCATAAACACACACACGCACTTGGTCCTTGCTCAGGATCCTACACAAACACCCCTGGAGGTCCACGGCTGCTGGAAAGGGGCAGGGAACTAACTCTTCCTGCGCAAAACCTGCTTCAGATGCAAGAGGCAGGCTGGCTGTCCCGGAGGGAAGGAGCAGAATGACTGAAAGCTCCAACGCTGAGGTCCAGACACATGAGGCCTGTGTGAGAGTCACGACAATGGAAAACTGCCCCTAGCGCCACCGCCATTGGGCAAACAGGCAGCAAGCACATAGTACAGCCGTCAGTCACAGAGGGTAGGATGGAGTGGCTGAGTGTGAAGAAATAACCCAGCGTGGTTTAGGCAGGCAGAGAAGGGTAGAAGATGAGTATTGAGCAGCACATGGAGAAAAAGCCTCTGGTTCTCCAGCACCGGACAGCACCAGAGGCCTCGAAGCCACTGGGGGGGGGCGGGGGGGGCGGGGGCTCTGCAGTAACCATAGAAACAGCAGCATCCAAACCCACCTCAACAACTGGCAAGATCTACTCCATCCCCCAGGCCATCAGCCTACCAGAAGATGTGTCCTCATCAGAACAGGAAGTAGTGGCTGCCATTGGACGACGGATGCCTGTGACGGAGGAGAAGGCTTTGGGATGGGAGTTGAATAGGAAGGAAAATCTTGAATTTGAGATTTCTCCCCTCACACCCTGCCCCTAACCCTGCCTGATACAGGATCCCTAAGCTTCAGAAGCAAGAGCAGAGGTCGTGGAATTCTCACAGGGATGTGCAAGTGAGGTTTGGGATGTGTTTGCGTGGATGTAGGTGTTGCCTCTTTTGTGACTCACCCACTGTGTCATTTGCCTACTCAGGCCATTAGGGCATTTGTCTTGTGCTGATTTTTATGAGTTCTCTATGTGCTAAGGATCTTAACTCTTTGACGTTGGTTGCTAATGTTTTTTGTTTAGTTGGTTTGTTGGTTTTGGGGGCAGGGTTGTTTGTTTTGGGTTTTTTTTTTTTTTTTTTTTGTCTTTGAGATGGAGTCTTGCTCTGTCACCCAGGCTGGAGTGCAGTGGTTCAATTTCAGCTCACTGCAACCTCCACCTCCTGGGTTCCAGCGATACTCCTGCCTCAGCCTCCCGAGTAGCTGGGACTACAGGTGCATGCCACCACACCCAGCAAATTTTTGGTATTTTATTAGAGACGGGCTTTCACCACATTGGCCAGGCTGGTCTTGAACTCCTGACCTCAGGTGATCTGCCTCCCTCAGCCTCCCAGAGTGCTAAGATTACAGGCGTGAGCTAAGCTACTGCACCCAGCCTGTTCTTTATTGAATTTATTCCTAGCTACCCGGGCACTTTTCCAGGGGTATGTACCAACAACTGTAACTGAACAACAGCTATTCCTCCGCAGAGCTGGGCCGTGTCCGTCGGTTCATCCACTCTCTCTCCTATGCACTATATCCCGGGAACAGAAAGCATTCCAAAACGTGTGGAATGACCAGCCAGAACTGAAAGCAACAGCAGCCTTTGGGAAAAGGATGCTTTATGGGGAATAAGGTGTCTTTGCAGTTGCAAAGAAATTGTCTAATCTGCAAGTAACTGTGTGGCACTTGGGATGAGGTTTTAGAATATCTCATAGCAGGGCCATCAGTCCTCGGGACACGGGGAGCTGATTCTATGAGCTGACAAGGTCTCTCCAGGACCAAGACAGCCATGCCAAAGAGAAGGCTGGAGGCTGGGTACAGTGGCTCATGCCTGTAATCCCAGCACTTTGGGAGGCAGAGGCGGGTGAGATCAGGAGTTTGAGACCAGCCCGGCCAACATGGTGAAATCCCATCTCTTCTAAAAATACAAAAATTTGCTGGGTGTGGTGGCACATGCCTGTAATCCCCACTACTTGGAAGGCTGAGGCAGGAGAATTGTTTGAACTTGGGAGGCAGAGGTTGCAGTGAGCTGAGATCTCACCAGTGCACTCCAGCCTGGACAACAAGAGCAAGACTCCATTCCCCCTCCCACCAGAACAAAAATTGTACTTAATTAGTGTCCTACAGATGTACAAGGTTAGTTATAGCTACTGGCTATTATAATCTGTAACTTTGTACATACTCACTTTGCAAACATATCAGTATATCTGTAAAATAGATTCTTGGGGGTGAAATTGCTAGGTTAAGGAGTATGTTGCAACAATGTCTCCCAGGTATGCAGACATATCTGTAAGATAAATTGCTAGGAGCAGAATTGGGGGGTCAGAAAGCAGGTATCTCTGTCATGTTTGAGGTTGCAAATATTTACAATCGCAAAGACACAAGCAATCTGAAATTCCTTGTTGACCTACAAGGTTTCTTATTCAACTTTCAGCTCTTTTCTGATTTGGCAGAGAGAAGCACTACCTCCTGTAGCTTTTTTTTTTTTTTAATTTTTTTTTTATCTTTTAAAGATAGGGTTTCACCATGATGGCCAGGCTGGTCTTGAACTTCTGACCTCACTGTAGCTTTCTTTTTAACATTTCTTTAATTATGCATGAGATGAGCATTTTAAAACACATATAAGAGGCTTTTGTATTTCCTTTTCTGTGAGCTGCCCGCTTATATCTTTTTCTTGTTTTCCCATGGGGTTTGGCCATCTTTTTGTTGATTTTCAAGGGCTTTTAACATATGAGAGGAGGTCCGTGCAGTGGCTCACACCTATAATCCCAGCATTTTGGGAAGTGGAGGCAGGCAGATTACTTGAGCTCAGGAGTTTGAGACCAGCCTGGGTAACATGGTGAAACCCAATCTCTACAAAAACAACAACAACTTAACCAGGCATGGTGGCATGTGCTTGTGGTCCCAGCTACTGGAGTGAGGTGTGAGGATCTGCTGAACCCAGAAGGTCAAGGTTGCAGTGAGCCATGATTACAGCAAGACCCTGTACTCCAGCAAGACCCTGTCTCCAAAGCAAAAGCATGTGAGAGGAATGACCCTACACAGCATGGGTTGCAATTTCTTCTTCATTTCACCATTTGCCTTTAGCTGACATTGGATTTTGCCGTGCAAAAAGGTTTTTATTGTGATGTGGGCTAGATCACCTTAGCCAACCTCAATTACCAGGTCTGCTCTAATGCACTAGGCAATTGGTCTTACTAACAAGTGCAGTGGTTTGTTTAAAGGCTCCAGAGGGCAGGGGTTGGCAAACTTTTTCTGTAAAGGGTCAGACAGTAACTATTTTATTTATTATTATTATTTTTTTGAGACGGAGTTTCGCTCTTGTTATCCAGGCTGGAGTGCAATGGCGCAATCTCGGCTCACTGCAACCTCCGACTCCTGGGTTCAGGCAATTCTCCTGCCTCAGCCTCCTGAGTAGCTGGGACTACAGGCACGTACCACCATGCCCAGCTAATTTTTTTTTTTTTGTATTTTTAGTAGAGACGGGGTTTCACCATGTTGACCAGGATGGTCTCGATCTATTGACCTCGTGATCCACCCGCCTCGACCTCCCAAAGTGCTGGGATTACAGGCTTGAGCCACCACGCAGCCAACAGTAACTATTTTAGACGCTGCAGGCAACCAGGTCTCTGTTCCAACTGCACAGCTCTGCCATTGCTGCATGAAAGCTGCCACATCAATGAGACATAAATGAAGGAGAGAGGCAGTGCTTCGGTAGAAGCAGCATTGCTCTTCTGTTATTCTTAAGAACAGACAGAGGCTGGATGGGCCCCTGGATCACAGCCTGCTGATCCGGCACAGAGGCTACCAGGGGCCTCCCTACCCCAGGCTGCAAATCTTCCTGCTACTGCATTTGGTCTCCCCGTCAATCTACCCCGACGCAGCAGGAAGTTGACTTCACTCAGTTCTCTAGTCTGGGGCCCAGCCTTTGCACCAACTGCTCAGCAGGGACTTACTGAGAGCTTCCTGGCCTGGAACCAAAGCACCAACCCCAACATCCATAGGCAGCCCGTTGGTTTCCATGTTTTACAGCTGCCTTGGTGACTCCCGTCGGTTTCCATGTTTTACAGCTGCCTTGGTGAGCCCGTCGCTGCCCTGAACCACGGACTTAGCCAGTGCCAACTCAGGGCCTAGACACACTCAAATAGTGGGGAGTCTGGGGAGACGTCTCTGGCCACGTCCCCACGGGCCCCAAGACCCACAGCGCCCTCCATCACCACCCACTCTGAGCCCCTCCACACCCAAACCGTTTCTCACTCATCTCCTATGCACAAGAAAACCTAATAATGTAATGTGTTCATAAGAAAAACAGTAAAAAGAAGATCATACAGTTATTTAAAGTGCCTAAAGAAAAACCTTGCTTTTTACCTTTAGTCACAATTAAATCTTTCAGGCCAGGCATGATGGCTCATGCCTGTAATCCTAGCACTTCGCAAGGCCAGGCAGGAGGATGGCTTGACCCCAGAAGTTTGAGAGTAACCTGAACAATAGAGAGAGACCCCCATTTCTACAAAAAAAAAGTGCTTGCTTCAGCAGCACATATAGTAAAAAATTGGAACCATACAGAGAAGATTAGCATGGCCCCTGCACAAGGATGGCATGCAAATTCGTGAAGAATTCCATGGTTCTTACAATATTTAAAAAAAAAAAAAAAAAAAGCTGAGCATGGTAGTGCATGCCTGTGGTCCCAACTTCTCAGGAGTCTGAGGTGGGAGGATTGCTTGAGCCTGGGAGGTGGAGGCTGCGAGGCTGAGGCTGCAGTGAGCTATGATCACACCATTGCACTTCAGTCCCAGGGGCTGAGGCTGCAGTGAGCTATGATCACACCATTGCACTTCAGTCCCAGGGGCTGAGGCTGCAGTGAGCTATGATCACACCATTGCACTTCAGTCCCAGGGACAGAGTGAGACCCTGTCTAAAAAAAAAGAATCTTTCTGGCATTGAACAGGCTTGGAGAAATCATGGCAGAGTACTACATTAGCTGCCTCCTTGCCTTTTAAGAACTAAGGATGACGCTTTTGGAGTTTCTTTATAGAATCACAATCTACAAAACTGGTGCCAAAGGGGATTTTATGTTAACTGTCATCAAGGCCTTGAATAGATTGTTTCCTGGGATCCACAGCTTTGCATGTTAGGTACTAGATCAATAACACCAACTTCATTCATTTTTGCCTACTGGAAGGAAGGTCAACTTTCCCTTCTCTCAGGTTTTGTTGTAGTTGCGGTTACACGTGCAGGAAGAAAGCCTGAAGGGCTCCTACGGCTCCCTCAAGCCAGGTCATCTTTAACATTTACGTTCAGTGCTTTTACATAGGAAGGAATTTTTTAAGGACAAAGAGATGTCAACAGTTGTTAATAAATAATTAGCAACAACAACTAAAAGCTGATAACTAATAAAGTGTCCCCAGAATGAAAATGGAAATGACTAACATCTCAGTCCCTTCTTTGCTAATTTTTTGTATTTTTAGTAAAGACGGGGTTGCACCAATTTGGGCAGGCTCAGGGGTGCATTTCTAAAGGCGATGCTGGCTGCAGAGACCTGTGGGAGAGCCTGCAGGGGACCTATCCGGAGGTACTTGCTGTCATTCAGCAAGAGTGGGAGGCTGGGTCCACAGTGGAGGGGCTTGAAGAGGGGTGGGAAGTGATGGAAGGGAGAGGGTGTCTCACCGATGACCCCTCCCCACACCCCCATCTCTTGCTTTGCTGGCTGACTGGCACTTCAGGCAAGGCTCTGGGAAGGCTTCTGGGTGACAGATGCCTTCCTGCACATCCTCCACATGCTTGGCACCTGGCTTGTCCTAAGGAGCCCCTGGGATAAGCTAGACCCAGCTCTAAAGTTACTGACTACTGCCATGTATGCTTGGAGAAGCAGAAACCTCTTCATCCCTCCCGTCTCTTTCCCAGGCATCACATGCCCCGCCCCCATGTCCGTGGAACATGCAGACATCCAGGTCAAGAGCTACAGCTTGCACTCCAGGGAGCGGTACATTTGTAACTCTGGTTTCAAGCGTAAAGCCGGTACATCCAGCCTGACTGAGTGCGTGTTGAACAAGGCCACCAACATCGCCTACTGGACAACCCCCAGTCTCAAATGCATCAGTAAGTAGCTCATGCTGTCCCACCTGCCTCACCCCTACATCCCGCCAAGGCTGCACAGAGAGAAGACCTCATCCTGGGGGTCAAGGGATCTGTGCTGAGTTGTGGGGCTAAGGACACCCGTGGGGGCAGGGCGCGGTGGCTCACGCCTGTAATCCCAGCACTTTGGGAGGCCCAGGTGGGTGCATCAGTTGAAGTCAGAAGTCCCAGACCAGCCTGGCCAACATGGTGAAACCCCATCTCTACTAAAAATACAAAATTAGCCACGCATGGTGGCATATACCTGTAATCCCAGCTATTGGGGAGGCTGAGACAGGAGAATTTCTTGAACCCAGGAGGTAGAGGTTGCAGTGAGCCAAGATTGTGCCACTGCCCTCCAGCCTGAGCCACAGAGCAAGACTCCTTTCTCCAAAAAAAAAAAAAAAAAAAAGACACTAGCGGGATCCTCAGCAACAGCTCCTGATATTGGAAATACACAGGCACTGGGGTCACAGAATTCAGGTTTAAATCCCGGCTCTGCCGCCTACTACCCAGGAAGACTTGGGCCACTTTTGTGACGTTCTGGCACTCTGGCTGGTCATCTGGAAAACAGACCTGATGTCCACACTGCAGGCTGCGGGAGGGTGGTGTAAACCCAGGTAAATATTAACTATTATTACATTTGGTGCTTTGATCTAAGATGACACTGGCAAGAGAATTGGGCCGCAGAGCCGGGCACATGCTCATGAGCACACTAGCGTGAGAAATTTTCGGATTTCTCATGAGAAAGTGGATGCTGGAAGCCCTCACTACTCCTCCCTCATGGCCCATCCCTGGGGATGAGAGCAGGGCTTCCCTTTGCTCAGTCACCTGTGCATGGTGTCCAGCAGGAGTGAGGGAAGGTGGCAAGAATCAACTTTTTTTTATAAACCATCCACACCTGAATAAACATCTCAGAAGCAGCCAAATCACCTCAGATGGGAGCACTAGGGGCTGTTTCTGGAACACTCAGGCCCACCTCTGCTCCTCCTCTTCCTTCCTCTGGAAAAATAAAGATTAACCCAGGGGCTTCCAAGAGATTTCCCATTTAACAACTGTGGAGTGCAGGCTCCTCTCCTTCCCCAGCTCGCCCGCCGGGCAGGGATGCGCACACCCCGCCAGGGGCCTCCCATATCTCACACCCTCTGCAGCAGGGGAGCTCCTAGGGGGCCAGACATTCTGCCTGCTGTGTAGTGCTAGCTCAGCCTCCTCTCCTAGAACAGAGCAAGTCACACAGGCAGCAGAGGGAAGGCAGGGAGAAAGCCTCCGACAGATTCCGAGAAATCGCTCTCTGGGCACCCTGTGGCACCAGTGCGTGAATGAGAAAGCTGAGCGTGGCGGGGCGAGCAGAATCTGTGGGAACGACAGTGGATCTTACCTCACCAGCCTGGGACTCTCCAGAACCTGTAAGCCTGGGGTAAAAAAGGGCTTTCTCACTGCAGGGAAAGTCAGGTCTCCTCAACGCTCCATGTCCTTTGGGCAAATGGATCCAGAATGGAATGGAGAAGAGCTGTGGGGTCCAAACAGGGTCAGGATGAGAGAGGACAGAAGAGAAGCTGAGAGCCAAAGACTGGAGGCGTCTTTAGGTTTCACCTGGCCCCAAGGACCCTTCCACCTTCTGACCACACACAACCTCCTCGGTTACGCTTCCCAACCTCTTGTGCTTTGAATGATTTTTTCCTGCTAAACAGACAAAATGGAAGCCAGGTACGGTGGCTCACACTTGCAATCCCAGCACTTAGGGAGGCTGAGGTGGGAAGAATTGCTCGAGCCCAGGAGTTTGAGACCAGCCTCCACAACATAGCAAGACCCTGCCTGACTCTACAGAAAAAAATTAAAATTTAAAAATGACCTGGACATTGAGGCATGTACATGTAGTCCCAGCTACTCAGGAGACTGAGACAGGAGGGTCGCTTGAGGCTGGGGGGTCAAGCTGCAGTGAGTTGTGATCATACCACTGCCCTCCAACCTGGGCAACAGAGCAAGACCCTGTCTCAAACAAAATAGAATCTCTTGAGTGGTCATTTATTTTCCCAAGAATAACCAGTATTATAAAATTGAATTGATATTATGAATATCATCTCAGCCAAAATAAATTTCATCTTTAACTTGTGCAGTCTTTTTGGAAATGAAAAATAGTGTGCAGTCTGTCTTCGGGTTTAAGTGGGGAAAGACTTTATTTCTCGTGCTTCTAACCTGTCCCAGGAAGCCAGATGCCTCCACTGTAAGCTCCAGTGTTGGTATGTTTTATTTGTATCCAGTTCTGAGGCCAGCCCAGATTCCAGGCTCAGGACCATCAGTGCCATGTGGTTATCCTCTCTCTAGGAGACCCCGCCCTGGCTCGCCAAAGGCCAGCACCACCCTCCACAGTAACGACGGCAGGGGTGACCCCGCAGCCAGAGAGCTTCTCCCCTTCTGGAAAAGGTAAGAAGGTCGGAAACTTCTTGAGGACACCTCTTCCCTCCAAACACCCAGCACCAACCCCCCCCCCGCCCCCACCAACCTTCACCAATCCCTCAGACTCATGGACCTCCGTGGTATGTCACTGCAGACTCAGGCAATAACACAAACATCTTATTCAATCAAGAATAAGAACCTCCAGCCTAATTCTCTTTTGCAAATCACAGTTGCTTTATATCCAGGTTTTATATGTGCAGAATTAATAGTGGTTTAAAACCCACTAATAAGTCAGATCATATTCTGTTGTAGACACTTACCTTTGCCTAGAACTGAAAGCAGACTGAGGTTTGAACTTGCATGTGTATTAGCCCTCAGCAGCTTCATGGGTGCCGGCAGAAAAGAGAGCGTTCCAGGATGGGAGGCCAGCAAGCAGCGGGAGCTTTGGCATGTTTGCATCAATTCCCTCTTCCTGTAGTCCACAGGGCGGCACGGGTGGACCTGAACAGACGCCTGTCTGCTCAGTGGGCTGCACTGTAGGGGAGGAAGCCTGGGCTTCCAAGACCCAAGTGTTTTATCATGGGCAGTAATCATGCCTGCTCTCTGCTCCAGGGGAGACCGTGTCCCCATCTTCCAAGGCGCCCGCTCTCTGCTCCAGGGGAGACCCTGTCCCCATCTTCCAAGGCGCCCGCTCTCTGCTCCAGGGGAGACCCTGTCCCCATCTTCCAAGGCGCCCGCTCTCTGCTCCAGGGGAGACCCTGTCCCCATCTTCCAAGGCGCCCGCTCTCTGCTCCAGGGGAGACCCTGTCCCCATCTTCCAAGGCGCCCGCTCTCTGCTCCAGGGGAGACCCTGTCCCCATCTTCCAAGGTGCCCGCTCTCTGCCTCAGGGGAGACCCTGTCCCCATCTTCCAAGGCGCCCACTCTCTGCTCCAGAGGAGACCCTGTCCTCATCTTCCAAGGCGCTTGCTGTAGAAGCACCGCTGAGAGAATGGATGGTCCAGAGAAAGGGCCGTCATCTCCTCTGTCTGCAAGATGTGCAGAAATGTGAGAGGCCTGTGGAGAGCTGCCCCAGCCAGACCTAGACGCCAGCACCTCACGATGACTGCTCTATTAGAGAGGCATTGCCTGAAGCTGCTAGTGTCCCATGTTTCAACAGTCTTCAGTGATTGTCAGCCCCGGTTTCCTCCGCACTTTCTCAGTGTTCAGAAAATCTGGGATCTTGGATTCCTTCTTGGGATCGTCCGCCCTGCAGGCTGATACCCTTGAGTTACAGTTCACTCTCAGCTTTTGCGTTACATCATCCAGCCTGTGGCTTTCCCTGGCCCCGGCCTGCTCCTTTGCCCCCAGCGATGGGCCTGTCTGTTTTCATTCATGCTACAGGGCTCAGTCATCCTTTCTCAGCTGTGGGTACACACCGACATCACCTGGGCACTCCAGTTGGCCTGGGTGCAAGTTGGGAATCACACCTCTCCAGCCCCAGGTGGAGTTTTTTTTTTTTTTTTGAGATAGAGTCTTGCTCTATTGCCCAGGCTGGGGGGCAGAAGTGCAATCTCAGCTCACTGCAATCTCTGCCTCCTGGGTTCAAGTGATTTTCCTGCCTCAGCCTTCCAGGTAACTTGGATTACAGGTGCCCACCACCACACTCAGCTAATTTTTGTATTTTTAGTAGAGACAGGGTTTACCATGTTGGCCAGGATGGTCTGGAACTGCTGACCTCAGATGATCCCCAAGCCTCGGCCTCCCAAAGTGCTGGGATTACAGGCATGAGCCACCGCACTGCACTGGGCCCCCAGGTGGTTCTTAAGTGGCCAAGACAGGCCTGCAGCTTGAGGGAGGAAGCAGCAGCTAAACAAGGTTCCTTCCTAGTGAGTCACCTGCACACAGACAGAGGAAGCGGGTGAGGGGCTGGCTTCACTGAAACTTGAGGTGATTCTACAACTCCTTTGATGCGATCACACCTGGTTCACCTAAGAGGAGTACAGCCCAGTAGCCTCTCCCAGCCCTGCCTTTGCATCCCAAATTCCTGCTCTGATGGCCATTGTGGAGATGCAGCTGTGCAGTCAGAAGCTCCGAAGTGAGAGCAGCCTTTGACCCGGGCTGGCACGACTGTAGGCACTTGGCTATGGACACCTTGGTGTGCTCTGTCTGCAGGGAGCCCTGGAATTGGCAGTGAGGGTAGGGTGAGGAGGTGACAAAGGATTAAGGGGCTTGAGGACTTCTCCTGACCTGCTTGGCTGGGAGAACATGGGAACATGGCAACAACAGTGCGTCCAGAGAGCCACGGCGCTCAGCGCCACATTCCCCAGAGCCACGGCACTCAGCCCCACATTCCCCAGAGCCACGGTGCTCAGCCCCACATTTCCCAAATGCTGCAGCTGTCACAATGGAAGACACATTTTCCACGGAGAGGGAACAGCATTACGCCACACCCTTACCGTGCAGTGCAGGAGCAGCCACCTTCCAGGGAAGGAAAGGAAGACAGGGAGGTCGCGGAACGTAAGGCAGCCTCTGTTCCTGAGAGCGGAGCACGCCAGAACGTTCTCCTCCAACACAGCCTGGAGAGTTCAGGCCAGAACCCTGGCTTCCCGTATTTCACCTGCAGCAGCTCTGAGCGGCCTCAGCCAGCGCAGCTCCACCTGCTCTCAGCAGAGCCTCCAGCGCTGGACCTGCCTTCTGTAGTAAACAAGCTCAACCACTCAGATCGCTGATATCTTTTCTTTTTCTTTTATTTTTTTTAAGAGACAGGGGTCTCACTCCGTCCCCCAGGCTGGAGTGTAGTGCCTCCATTATAGGTCACTGCAGCCTCGAACTCCCAGGCTCAAGTGAGTCTCCACCTCAGCCTCTCAAATAGATGAAACTATAGGCACACGCCCACCGCCCTTGGATAATTTATTTTTATTCCAGTTTTTATAGAAACAGGGTCTTGTGTCAGGGCACGGTGGCTCACGCCTATAATCCCAGCACTTTGAGGGGTCGAGGCAAGTGGATCACTTAAGGTCAGGAGTTTGAGACCAGCCTGGCCAACATGGCAAAACCTCATCTCTACTAAAAATGCAAAAATTCGCTGGGCATTGTGGTGGGCACCTGTAATCCCAGCTACTCAGGGGGGCTGAGGCAGGGAGAATTGCTTAAACCCAGAAGGCAGAGGTTGCAGTGAGCTGAGATCGCACCACTGCACTCCAGCCTTGGCAGGAGCAAGACTCCATCTCAGAAAAACAAAAACAAAAAGCAAGGTCTCACTATGTTGCCCAGGCTGGTCTCAAACTCCTGGGCTCAAGCGATCCTCCCGCCTCAGCCTCCCACAGTGTTGGGATTATAGGCATAAGCCACTGTGTCTGGCTGATCTTTTCTTTACGTGTGCAGTGATCATAGCCATGTTCTTTAGTGCACTCACAGGTCCTATGCTCCTTCCAGAGGGACAGCTATGTCACCCTCTCAAGGAGTAGTTTGCTGGGGAGCAGGAGGGCTGGCCAGGGTGACTCACTACAGCTCTCAGATCACCCCACGCCGCAGCTGGGAGGAGGGGAGTCTGCCCAGTGATGTTCTCCCTGCCTTGGACTCTCCTACAGAGCCTGCAGCTTCATCTCCCAGGTCAGACACCACAGTGGCCACAACAGCAGCTCTTGGCCCGGGCTCCCGGCTGATGCCTTCAAAGTCACCTTCCACGGGAACCACAAGGATAGGCAGTCATGAGTCCTCCCACGGCCCCTCTCAAATGACAGCCAGGACCTGGGAACTCACAGCACATGCTTCCCACCAGCCGCCAGGTCAGCACTCACGTTGCCCCAGGAGAGGTTATTCCCCACTGTGGCTTCTGAGATCTGGGCTGAGATCCATCACAAGGCAGGTTTATACCATCGATCCAAAGTCAGGACTCACTGGGCACTCCGCTGCCCCCGGCCACCAGCCTCCTGGCCTGGCCTTTTCTCCGTGGCTTTGCCCTTGGGGCAGCTAGAAAAGCAAGCCCACCACCCCCACCAGAAGTGGCAGGACCAGCCTTGTCACCTGCACGGAGAGCCTGTACTGAGAGTCTGAGTGGCATCTGTGCCCTCCCACAGTGGGAGGTGGTGGCAGCTGCCTGCAATCCGGGGCCAGGATCTGTGGAAGGGAGGAGCTGTAGGTAAAGTGGACCTTCTCTAAGGCTTATCTGATTCTTTTTTATTTATTTATTTTTTTGAGACGGAGTTTCACTCTTGTTACCCAGGCTGGAGTGCAATGGCACGATCTCAGCTCACTGCAACCTCCACCTCCTGGGTTCAGGCAATTCTCCTGCCTCAGCCTCCTGAGTACCTGGGATTACAGGCACGCGCCACCATGCCCAGCTAAGGCTTATCTGATTCTTAAGTGTGGCCAGCACTTCAGTGAGCTACCCTGCTTGCTTGCTCTTTGCTAAAACGAGTCTGCTTACGCCAGCCACGTGTCTCCCAAGGTGCTAGGATGGGAGCCAAGCTGTGCAGTTTCTCCTGCTTCATGAGGAACTAGGGCCTCTAGGACTCAAGCTGTGACACTGTCCTTTGTTTTCCGCAGATGGGTATCCACCGGGCAACAGCAGCACCATAGGTAAGTTTGTCCCTTTGTCCAGTATGTTTATGATTGAGGTGACCGCAGTCCCAGGGTGCTGGGGGGTCGTGGCCCGGGCCTGCCCCCCAGCACAGTCCTGACAGCGGCCCCTTCCACTCTCAGAAGATTGCCATCAGATAAAAAGTTTAAAAAGTGCCAATTTATGGAATTCTCTGTTTGATGTGCTTATTTTTCTTAATATTGGTAGTTTCTAGCTGTCAGGCTACCGGAGTTGAACCCAGAAAGCTGGCACCCAAAACAGGGCTCCAGGCCAGCTCTTCACAGCTCTATGCAGCAGGGTTCGCCTCCCATGCAGGGAGCATCCGAAAACACAGGTGCCGGCTGCCAGCACTGACGCTGCAGCATCTCTGCCACATGCTGCCCATCCCTCTCTACGGCGTGGCACCATGCACTTAGAGAGGCTGTCCACATTTTCAGTATAAAATGCTCCTCTTGGCCAGGCGTGGTGGCTCACACCTGTACTTTGGGAGGCCGAAATTTGAGGATCCCTTGAGGCCAGAATTTGAGGCCAGCCTGCTTAACATAGCAAGATCTCATTTCTATTTAAGAAAAGAAAAAGAAAAAAGTTAACAAAACAAAATAAAACAAAAAAACCGCTCATCTTTACAGAAGACACACACAATGCTAAGGCTAGGAGAATAGGATCGAGAACGTGCAAGTGACGATAGAAAAAGGGGGACGCATTTGCAAGACTAAAAGAAAAAGATGAAGGGAGGGGAGGAGAGAGAACAGGAGGAAGAAAGGAAGCATGCAGGGAGGAAGAATGCCAGTAATGAGAAGAACGCAAGTCATGCTTCAGGCTGGCAAACTTCCAGAGTAACAGAAAACCCAACTGTAATGTGACACGGACAAAAATTACCGTGACCTTCTGTTCATAAATTTTCCTGCTAGAGAATGATTCGTATTTTGTGGTCTCATTTTTACCTGCATCAAATGTCATCTGGAAAAACATCAAGTGACTTCGGATATTTTAGCTGTTAGTTGATTAGAATTGTTTAAAAACCAATTAGACCCTGGCGAGGTAGCCCACACCCATAATCCCAACACTTGGGGAGGCTGAGGCAGGCCCATCACCGGAGGCCAGGAGTCCAAGACCAGCCTGGCCAACTTGACAAAACCCGTCTTTACTAAACATACAAAGAATTAGCCGGGCATGATGGCACATGCCTGTAGTCCCAGCTACCAGGGAGGCCGAGGTGGGAGAATTGCTTGAACCCAGGAAGCAGAGGTTGCAGTGAGCTGTGATCATGCCACTGCACTCTGGCCTGGGCAACAGAACAAGACCCTGTCTCAAAAAACGACGAAAAGTAAATTCCATTTCTAACTCAAAAGTCCCCTTGCAACGAGGAAGCAGCCCTTGCTATCAGATTTCTGGGCATCCTTCAGAGGGACTGTATAAACCAGCTCAGAGGGGCGAAGGGAGGCTGGACCGCTGCTTTATTTCTCCTGTTCACCTTATTTGTTTCCGCTTGCTGTCATAGCTTGTAGGTCCTCCCATATCAGGACACAAAAACCACCTCATCCTTTTTAACAGCTACAGAATATTCCATTGTATGGAATTCCCACCATTTACTTAGCCAACCCCCTATCTGGACATGTGATTGCTGCATTCTGTGGTTATCTTACAAACAGCGATAAATTGAAAAATCTTTAGGTGCAAGAATATCTTTGGATAAAATCCTACATGTATAATTCGGAGGTCATTTCTTTCTATATAGATTTTCCAACAACTATTTGATGATGGGCTATAATCTATAATCTGCTTTTTCTAGTTCGTGACTTTTATTAGATTAAAAAATTGGCCAGGTGCTGTGGCTCACGTCTGTAATCCCAACACTTTGGGAAGCCGAGGTGGGCAGATCACTTGAGGCCAGGAGTTCGAGACCAGCCTGGGCAACACGGTGAAACCCTGTCTCTACTAAAAATACCAAAATTAGCCAAGCGTAATGGTGGGTGTCTATAATCCTAGCTACTAGGGAGGCTGACGCAAGAGAATTGTTTGAACCTGGGAGGCAGAGGTTTCAGTGAGCTGAGATCATGCCACTGCACTCCAGCTTGGGAGACAGAGCAAGACACACACACACACACACACACACACACACTCAAAAACTTTCTCCCAAATTCTGAAATGTAATGTAATATACATTCACCAAAGACCTACAGTGCACAAGATACTTCTATGCAAGGAAGCGTGGAAATACAGAGACGCCACACACAAAAACACTTTAGGTCTTTTATGCTGGATCAGCCACCCTGAGATCTAAGAGCACAAGTGACGTGTGGCAGATACACTCACTGGCCCCCAGGACATCAGAGGATGTTGCTATTTCTGCGTGAATATACAATCAGTTGAGCTCATCTTCATAAGAAAGTATTAACGATGCTTTAGCACAGTGGTGGCTCAGTAAACTCACTGCCATTTTAATCAACCCATTGGTACTACCAATACCCTAATTTGCTTTTTAAAATAACATATAAATGATTAGCAGTACTTTTTTTTTTTAATTCAACAGAAAATGGTACATAGTAGATGCTTAACAGATATCAAGTGAGTAAGCGAAGGAATGGGTGAATTTGAGGGCTTTAACATTTTAATAAATAAGAAATATGGCTCATAGTTTCATTGTCTTCAGTATCTACTGGCGTATTTGGAAGCCCTTTTTTATTATTAATTTTCTTTTACCTTAAGTTCCGAGATACATGTGCAGGACATGCAGGTTTGTTCCATAGGTAAACATATGCCATGGTGGTTTACACCCATCAAGCCATCACCTAGGTATTAAGCCCTGAATGCATTAGCTGTTCTTCCTGATGCTCTCCCTCCCCTCCCCTCCACACAGGCCCTGGTGTGTGATGTTCCTCTCCCCATGTCCATGTGTTCTCATTGTTCAGCTACCACTCATGAGTGAGAACAGGCAGTTTTCTGTTTCTGTGTTAGTTTGCTGAAGATGATGGCTTCCAGTTCCATCCATATCCCTGCAAAGGACATGATCTCACTCCTTTTTATGGCTGCATAGCGTTCCATAGCATATAGGTACCACGTTTTCTTTATCCAGTCTATCGCTGATGGGCATTTGGGTCGATTCCATGTTGGCAGCCCTTTTTATCAATAACTTTCTATGGTTATTACAATACCTGGTCTCCCATCCCTGACTAAGTTGTTGTTGATAACTCTCGATTGTAAAGGAAAAGGTCAGCAGGCCACATGATGGCACTGACACTGCCATGCTGATTTAGCACCCAGGTGAGGACTGACTTCTCAGGAGGCATCACGCCTCTGGGCTTTCATGGCTGAAGTAAGTTTCTGCAGTCGATTCCTCAGCCCTTGACAGAAACGGCCTCTATGTCGCATCATTTATTCAACACAAACTGAGTTTCTGTTCAGTGCCAGGAATGGTCTTAAGCTGTTATAAAATGCGGAATCCTCATTAAAAAGCAAATGTCACTTTAAATTTATTTCAATTTATGGAACTTGAAAAGCCTAAGTTGATCAATTAAGTATTTATTGAGTGTCTACTGTGAACCCAACACTTATTATATGCTTAGTGCAATAGAAATAGAAAAGAAACCACTGGCCAAGCATGGTGGCTCATACCTGTAATTCTAACACTCTGGGAGGCCAAGGCAGGAGGCTCATACCTGTAATCCTAACACTCTGGGAGGCCAAGGCAGGAGGCTCATACCTGTAATCCTAACACTCTGGGAGGCCAAGGCAGGAGGCTCATACCTGTAATCCTAACACTCTGGGAGGCCAAGGCAGGAGGCTCATACCTGTAATCCTAACACTCTGGGAGGCCAAGGCAGGAGGCTCATACCTGTAATCCTAACACTCTGGGAGGCCAAGGCAGGAGGCTCCTGTGAGCCCAGGAATTTAAGAGACCAGCCTGGACATTTCATTATAAAAAGTAAAAATGAAAAAATTATCCAGGTGTAGTGATGTACAGTTGTCCAAGCTACCTGGGAGGCTGAGGTAAGAGGCTTGCTTGAGCCTGGAGTTCGAGGATACAGTGAGCTATGATGGTGCCACTGCACTCCAGCCTGGGCTACAGAGTGAGACTCCGTGGAAGGAAGGAAGGAAGGAAGGAAGGAAGGAAGGAAGGAAGGAAGGAAGGAAGGAAGGGAGGGAGGGAGGGAGGGAGGGAGGGACGGAGGGAGGGAGGGAGGGAGGGAGGGAGGGAGGGAGGGAGGGAAAGAGAGAGAAAAAAAAGAAAGAGAAAGAGAGGGAAGGAAGGAGAAAGAGAGAGAGAAAGAGAAAGGGAAGGAAGGAAGGAAAGAGAGGGAGAGAGGGAGAGAGGGAGGGAGGAAGGAAGGAAAGAGAAAGAGAAAAAGACAGAAAAAGAAAAAGAAAAGAGAGAAATGGAAGGAAGGAAGGAAGGAAGGGAGGAAAGGGAGGGAGGGAGGGAGGAAAGGGAGGGAGGGAGGAAGGAAGGGAGGGAGGGAGGAAGGAAGGAAGGAAGGGGAGGGAGGGAGGAAGGAAGGGAGGGAGGGAGGAAGGAAGGAAGGGAGGGAGGGAGGAAAGAAGGAAGGGAGGGAAGAAGGAAGGGAGGGAGGGAGGAAGGAAGGAAGGGGAGGGAGGGAGGAAGGAAGGGAGGGAGGGAGGAAGGAAGGGAGGGAGGGAGGAAGGAAGGAAGGGGAGGGAGGGAGGAAGGAAGGGGGGGGAGGGAGGGAGGAAGGGAGGGAGGGAGGGAGGAAGGGAGGGAGGAAGGAAGGAAGGGGAGGGAGGAAGGACGGGAGGGAGGAAGGAAGGAAGGGAGGGAGGGAGGAAGGAAGGAAGGGGAGGGAGGGAGGCAGGAGGGGAGGGAGGGAGGAAGGAAGGGAGGGAGGGAGGGAGGGAGGAAGGAAGGAAGGAAGGAAGGGGAAGGAGGGAGGGAGGAAGCCACTGCACAGAGTACTTGAGTTGATGCTCTTCTTCCAAAACTGCCCTCATCCGATGCAAGCACACAGGAGCTCTGGCCATAGTGACACACGGGTATTACTACCCAATGACGGGCCTAATTGGTCAGGGTGCTGCTGAGGAACATTTTCTTCAGGCATACCAAACATTGTTCCTGGCTGTCTCAGGGGCCTTCTCTGTCCTGGACCCAGTCTGCACACAGGCTGAAGGGGGCTGGTGGGAGATGTGGTTTTCATGGCCGCCTCTGCTGAAACCACCTTTCCCCTCTCTCCTTCCTCCTCGCTTCTCCTGTCTCACCAGAGCTCTTTCTCTTCCTCTTCTTCCAATCTACACACCCATCCAGGAAACAATAAAAGGTGGAGGGCTTGGCAGGTAAGCTGTTAATTCACTGTTTTGGTGATTCTGATTTCCGCGTCTTTTTTTTTTGAGAGACAGTCTGGAGTACAGTGGTGTGATCTCGGCTCACAGCAACCTCCACCTCCCAGGTTCAAGCCATTCCCCTGCCTCAGCCTCCCAGGTAGCTGGGACTACAGACTCAGTGCCACCACAACCAGCTAATTTTTGTATTTTTAGTAGAAACGGGGTTTCACCATGTTGGCCAGGATGGTCTCGATCTCTTGACCTCATGATCCGCCCACCTCAGCCTCCCAAAGTGCTGCATTGTGGCCCCTGTGTCTTTACTAGAGTTGCCTGGATGTCAGTGAGGAAGGGACCAAGGATCTGGCGCTGAGTTCAAGTTGCTTAGTTTTATGGTTGGTTCAGGAGCCCTCTTCTCTGTTGAGTTTCATTCTGCAGCTTTTATTGTCACTTAAATAGAAACAGGAAGGGGCCTTGTGAAGGGAGAAGCACAGTTCACATCATGTTGCCTTTTCCAGTAAAACATTCTGTTCACAGTGTGCGCCGACTCACTAGCCAGCGCGAAGACATCGTTTACCATCAGTGCGACGTCTCTGCTAACACAGATTTCTTTTTTTAGTCATAATAATGGTGAATTTTAAGCCCGAAAACTCAAAACAGTTTTCATTAATTTCTCGTGTTTTCTGTTACTTTTTTTTTATTTTGGTGCTGTGACTCCGATCTGTTACTTCTTTTGTAACCATTTTTCTATAATTTTTTATTTACTTAAAAGTTATTTTGTTTCTACAATTTTACTATTTATTCTGATTACAGTGTCATTGCAAATATGAGAAAAAACGACCTTTTTAATAAAAGAAATAAAGAGTATCTTGAATCCTCCCACTGTATATATTCCTCAAGACTCTTCTGTGCATTTGGATATCTACATGGCTGGTTGGAAATTACTGTGGGTTCATTTGGGGTTTTTTTTGAGACAGTCTCGCTCTGTCACCTAGGCTGGAGTGCAGTGGTACAATCTCAGCTCACTGTAACCTCTGCCTCCCAGGTTCAAGTGATTCTCTTGCCTCAGCCCCACAAGTAGCTGAGATTACAGGTGCCTGCCACCATGCCTGGCTAATTTTTGTATTTTTAGTAGCTACGGGGTTTCATCGTGTTGGCCACGCTGATCTCGAACTCCTGACCATAGGTGATCTGCCTGCCTCAGCCTCCCAAAATGCTAGGATTACAGGTGTGAGCCACTGCACTCAGCCTATTGTGGGTTCCTTTTTATCTGAGTATCTTTTTTCACTCAAGATGTTGCAGACAACTTTTCATGTTAATAAATGCAGATCTATTTTGTAATTTTTAATAGTTGAATAGTATTGGGTATTCCATCATATGCGCATAGCATGTTTAATTAACTAATTGTCTGTTGACAAGAGATTCAGATTAACATCTTGAAAATTATTTTAGGCCAGGCACAGTGGCTCATGCCTGCAATCCCAGCACTCTGGGAGACCGAAGGAGGCAGATCACTTGAGGTCAGGAGTTCAAGACCAGCCTGGCCAACATGGTGAAACCCCATCTCTACTAAAAATACAAAAATTAGCTGGGCTTGGTGGCAGGTGCCTGTAATCCCAGCTACTCAGGAGGCTGAGGCAGGAGAATCATTTGAACCTGGGAGGGGTAGTTTACAGTGAGCTGAGATCACACCACTGTACTCCAGCCTGGGCAACAGAGTGAGATTCTATCTTAAAAAAAAAAAAAAAGTTGAAGGTAGACTAGACGCAGTGGCTCACACCTGTAATCCCAGCACTTTGGGAGGCCAAAGTAGGTGGAGGTCAGGAGTTTGAGACCAGCCTGAGCTGAGATGATACCTCTGTACTCTAGCCTGGGCAACAAAGGGAGAACCTGCCTAAAAAAAAAAAAAAAAAAAAAAAAGTTGCAAGTGAAAAAAAATGAAATTGTAAGGAAAATGGCACTATGTGCTATTGTTTCTAAACCTGTGAAGTCGAAGAAAAGGGGGCGTTGTGCTGGGAACAGCAGAGGAGGGGTGTGTTCCTGTCTGCTTTCTCAACCCTGGCTTTAGCAGCAGGAGCTCGCTCTCCTCCTCATCCCACTCCTGGCTTTGCCTTGAGGCTCTTACTGCTCCCTCCTCACTTGCCCCATTCCTGCCCTGTCACCCCAGGCACTCTGCCAGAGAAGGACAAAGATGAGGAGCAGAGGTGTGGGACGACAGGGAACTGGCACCCTTGGCAGGAATGGGGATGTGTTTTTGCCTAGACATAGAATTAGAGGGAAATGCATGGGCCTCAAGAAATGTCCAGAGCGGCAGGCTGCTTGGAGGCGCTTGGATCCCTTTGTAAGAATGTCCACGGTAAAGAATTTGCGATTCAAAGCCACGAATGTGCTCCTGGGTGTCTCAATGTGGTCTTCTCCCTTTCAGTGGCCGTTTCCACTTCCACCATCCTGCTGTGTGGGCTGAGTGCTGTGTCTCTCCTGGCATGCTACATAAAGTCAAGGTGAGTCACACCGGGTACTCCCTCTGCAAGAGTCATCATTCCCCAAGAGAAAAGAGCCGCACATGGCCGGGTGCGGTGGCTCACACCTATAATCCCAGCACTCTGGGAGGCTGAGGTGGAACAATTACTTGAGCCTAGTAGTTTGAGACCAGCCTGGACAACATAATGAGACCCTGTCCCTACCAAAAAAAAATAATTTTCAAAAAGCTCAAAAAATAAATATATCTTTAAGAAGAATTGGCATGGTTGGGCATAGTGGCTCACACCTATAATCCTAGCACTTTTGGAGGCAAAGTGGATAAGCTGCTTGAGTCCAGGAGTTTGAGACCAGCCTGGCCAACATGGTGAAACCTGATCTTTAAAAAAAATACAAAAAGTTAGCTGTGCACAGTTGCCTGCAGAGGTTTCAGCAAGCCAGCATGACTGCACTCCAGCCTGGGAGACAGAGTGAGACCCTGTCTCAGAAAAAAAAAAAAAAGGAGAAGGAAGAGGAAGAGGAGGAGGTAAATTTGTTGAGTGTAATTACTTGGTCATTTGGTGAATTGATTCTTTCCATAATCTGGTTACTTTACAAATGGGTTATTAGGTAGATTTGCCATTTGACAAATTGGATTTTAGCAAATTATTTTCAGGGAACTGACCTGCGTTCTGACTTAGTTTAGCTCTCTCTCCAGGGAGCTCACACTGCTTACCTTAAAATGGCCTAAAGAGCTGCTGCTCCAGAGGGACGTTTCACCACCCTGGGAGAAGGTGCCGGCCAGATGCCCAGGCCTCAGCGCCCAGGCAGCTCCAGACCGGCGGGCCACGTCTGACCAGAGTGTCCCTCTGGGGACACAGCTCCCTGTGCTTGTCATTCAGGAGCTGATTGGTTTATGGATTTCTTTATTTCACACACACTGAGTACTAAGAACTGCTTTTGAAAGTTCCCTGAATATGAAATCACTTTTATCAAGATGATCAAGTCTGCTTTGGCCAGGCTCCCAGTCGCTATCTCCTCCTCTTGTTCCTGCCATTTGAATGGCCTTTTAGCAGAGGACTGGCAAAGCGTAGGGTGAGGGCGGCGTGAGCTGCTCCAATAGCATTTGGTGAATCTTTGGTGGATGGGGAGGTTGGATATACCTGGAGAGGATTTATTCTCATCGTATTGCAGGCTGGTCTTGAACTCCTGGGCTCAAGCGATCCTCCCATCTCAACCTCCCAAAGTGCTGGGATTACAGGCATGCACCACCACACCCGGCCCCTAGATAGGACTGAATACCCTCTGTAGACGTAGGCACTCCAGGTTCTCTCCATCTCTGAGCACTAAGTCCTCTCTGGCTCCTGCAGCAGGGCCTCTGTCTGCTCCTCCCATCCCCACTGCTGGATACACCCTCAGTAGGAAGCATCTGTTGATTTGAGGGCAACTCCCACCTCTTTTCAAAACCTATGAACCACCTCCTTTGCAGGCAAACTCCCCAGCCAGACAGCGTTGAAATGGAAGCCATGGAAGCTCTGCCAGTGACCGGAGGGACCAGCGACAGAGACAAAGACTCAGAAAACCGCACTCACCTCTGAAACTCAGGGAAAGCAGCCCGGCTCTGTCCGGAGTATAGGAACCTCTCTGCTTTACCTAAAGAGAAATGAGAAGAGGTGCAAGGAGGTGGGCTCTGGGAGCAAGCCCACCAGGCCCCTCATCTTCCCAGCAGGATCTCACAGGCTGCCGGGCGACGGCTCCTGCATGAGGAAGCAGGTTCTCCGCACTCCATGGGCGCCACCTGCCTGCCTGTCGTGTCTTGGATCCAGGGGCCAGCTTCCTAGGAGAGACCAAAGGCTTCTGGCAGCGGTTTTATCTCATTACAATGTGAGCTGTCGGGAATACAGGTGGCACTGAAATAAAGGCCCTGCCCTGAAACCTGTCCCTCAGCCTGACTTGCCGTTTACAGAGAAGTGTGATATACTCAAGGCTCTCTGTCAATTACAAGGCTCCTGCTGGCCTGGGAGATGTTGCCAGGGAAGACACCTGCATTGGGCTCCTAACCACCCTGTCTCCAGCTGCTCTGCACACACTGACAGGGAGCGGGAAAGGTGGGAGAGATGCTGAGTGAATCCTCTCCGTCGAAGAATTCAAGAAGAAAATTCAACTCAGCACCACTTTACATATATATGCTTTTATATTTATACTTGTCTACTATATCTACACATTATATGTGATTTCCATTTTGACATTATACCTTGTATAAACAAAATAAAACATCTATTTTCGATATTTTTTAAATGCACTAAAAGTCACCAAGGAGAAATGTTCCACACAGAGGAGGAGGAAGGGGAGGAAGGCAGAGTCCGGGCGACTCAGCTCCAGTGTTCAGTGGCGGGATCTCTGCTCACGGCAACCTCTGCTTCTCAGGTTCAAGCGATTCTCCTGCCTCAGCCTCCCGAGTAGCTGGGATGACAGGTGCTTGCCAACACGCCCAGCTAATTTTTGTATTTTTAGTAGAGATGGGGTTTCACCATGTTGGCCAGGCTGGTCTCACTCTCTTGACCTCGTGATCCGCCTGCCTCAGCCTTCCAAAATGCTGGGATTACAGGTATGAGCCACCGCACCCGGCCAGATATTTATTTCTAAAATCATGGACCTAACCCCACCTCCTCATTTTATAGATGAGAAAACTGAGGACTGGAGAAGTTGTTCTGCTTACAACCACGAAGCTCAGTTAATGCTAGAGCTGGATCAGAGCAGGGGCCGGGATGCTGGGTAAGGTGGCTCACACCTGTGATCCCAGCACTTTGGGAGGCCAAGACAGGAGGAGAAGGATCAACTGAGCCCAGAAGTTCAAGAACAGCCTGGGCAACATAGTGAGACACATCTGTACAAAAATTTTTTTTTTCTTGAAACAGTCTCACTCTGTCACCCAGGCTGGAGTGCAATGGTGAGATCTCAGCCTCCGCCTCCTGAATTCAAGCGATTCTCCTGCCTCAGCCTCCCAAGTTACTGGAACTACAGGCATGTGCCACCACACCCTGCTAATATTTGTTTTTTTTGTTGTTGTTTTTTGGTTTTTTTTTTTAGTAGAGACAGGGTTTTGCTATGTTGGCCAGGCTGGTCTCAAACTCCTGATCTCAAGTGATTCGCTTTCCTTAGCCTCCAAAAGTACTGGGATTACAGGTGTGAGCCACTACACCCAACCAAAATTTTTTAAAAAACAAAAGTAATAGGGAGGGTAGGTGGGGTGGGAGGGGAGCAGTCCTGGCTGGAAACCAGCCACCAGCTGCCCCTTATACAGCCAGGGGGAAGAGGAAGCCACTGTGGGCATTTGGGAGGTGGGATATGGGCATAGCGCTCAATCCGCACACCACCAGACATTCTCAAAGTGCCCTTTTTAATTGACTTTTCTTTTTTGAGGCGGGGGACTCACTGTATCACCCAGGCTGGAGTGCAGTGGTGCAATCTTGGCTCACTGCAACCTCTGCCCCCCAGCTTTAAGCAATTCTGATGCCTCAGCCTCTGGAGTAGCTGGGACTACAGGTGCACACCACCACGTCTGGCTAATTTTTGTATTTTTAGTAGAGTCTGGGTTTTGCCATGATGGCCAGGTTCGTCTCGAACTTGTCAGCTCAAGCAATCTGCCTGCCTCGGTCTCCCAAAGTACTGGGATTACAGGTGTGAGTCACCACACCTGGCCATTTTTTTCACTAACTTCTGCCTGTCCTCAGTTTAGATGCTTTCATCAAAATTAGAGGAGGCTTTTCCAAGTGGCTGGTTGGGCTTCCTCACAATATGGTGGGCTCAGGCTAGTCACACAGGCTGAAAAAATGTAGAAACTGCCAGGCTCCTGACAGGCTGGGCCAGACACTGGCACACATCACTTCTGTGGCATTCTATCTGTCGAAGCAAGTCGCAAGGCCAGCCCAGGTTCAAGCAGCCAGGAACGAGGAAAGGGAAAGAAGGAATCAATAGAGGCTCTGTGGTACCCATCCACTGTACCCTTCAGGGCCATCAGGAAGTGTAATTGCCTTTCAGTCCTCAGTACTCAGTAAATGCCAACAAATATTAGGTGAATGAATGGGCAGAATGACCAGGAAGTCAGCATCTGCCAGGTGCTAGGAACAGTCTGTCCTTTTTTATGTTGAAATGGAAAGAGTACACAGATCTCTGAAGGCTGACAGGAGCACCATATTCTAAACCTCAGCATCATGCAATATACCTGTGTAACAATCCTGCACATGTTCTACTGAGACCAAAATTAAAAAAGAAAGTTCTACAGCTGTGAGGACTTTAGCCCCCATGTCTTCAGCTGCCAGAAATCTAAATGATTCACATCTCCCGCTCTTCCCTCATTTCCTGCCATACACATTTGCCTGCCGTACACATTTGCCTTGAAGTAAATGGATTGCTCTTCACCTTTTACATTTTGTCTTGATTTTCCTTAATAAAGAAATAAGACTTTTTTTTTAGATGGAGTCTTGCTCTGCTGTCCAGGCTGGAGTCCAATGGTGTAATCTCAGCTCACTGCAACCTCTACCTCCTGGGTTCAAGTGATCCTCCTGCCTCAGCCTCCCAAGTAACTGGGATTACAGGCATGTACCATCACACCTGGCTAATTTTTGTATTTTTGATAGAGATGAGGTTTCACCATGTTGGCCAAGCTGATCTCAAACTCCTGACCTCAGGTAAACCACCCGCCTTGGCCTCCCAAAGTGCTGGGACTACAGGTGTGAGCCATCATGCCCTGCTAAGAAATAAAACTCTCAACTTTCCCCTTTCTATTTAGTTTTTTAACCATTCACAGCATTCTTTATTTCCTTGTATAGATGCAGATTTCCATTTTTTTTTTTTCTGCCTGTATAACTTTTTAAAATATACCTTGTGGTGTGACTTTTCCCTTTTAACCCTTCCTCCAGACATTGGGAGGTGGAGAGCAGGGACTGAAAGACATGGGGAAGGACACCTGTTTCTAACTGCCCACACCTGTGTTCCACAGGGACCTCTTCCTCTTGGCTGAGGCTGTCACCTCCTGGCTCAGAATTTCACAGCGCAGAGCGGAGCGGAGTCCGTGAGTCCTGCAGGTGTGCTTCACCATAGGGCCGTGCTCCTTTGAGGCAGGACCAGCCTGACCCAAATCACAGCCTCCCCAACACCTCACACTGCTGCGCACTAATCAGAGCTCAATTAGTGCATATTTTAGTTCATATTAGGCACTGTATTATGAGGGGGATTTAGTTGACACTTACTCCTCTAAGTGACTGTCCATAAATCCACCCATTCTAGTGTTGCTGTTCTTAGCTATTCAGGATGAAATGCCCCCTTCTCTCTTGAAATTTTCCATCCCTCAGCCTGACTTGCAGTTTACAGAGAAAAGTGATATACCCAAGGCTCTCTGTCAATTACAAGGCTCCTCCTGGCCTGGAAGATGTCTCCAGGGAAGACACCTGCATTGGGCTCCTAACCACCCTGTCTCCAGCTGCTCTGCACACACAGGGAGCCAGGAAAGTTGGGAGACATGCTGAGCCCAGTGAATCCTCTCCATCGAAGGATTCAGGAAGAAGAAACTCAACTCAGCACCCCTTTACATATATATGCCTTTCTGCTTCCTTGTCTATCATATCTACACATTATATATGATTTGCATTTTGACATGTACCTTGTATAAACAAAATAAAACATCTATTTTCAATATTTTAAAATGCACTAAAAGGATCACCAAGGATGGCCAGGCACGGTGGCTCATGCCTGTAATCCCAGCACTTTGGGAAGCCGAGGTGAGTGGATCACCTGAGGTCAGAAGTTTGAGACCAGCCTGACCAACAACCAACATAGTGAAATCCTTTCTCTACTAAAAATACAAAAATTAGCTGGGTGTGGTGGTGGGCGCCTGTAATCCCAGCTACTTGGGAGGCTGAGGCAGGAAAAGCGGGAGGCGGAGGTTGCAGTGAGCCAAGATCATACCACTGCATTCCAGCCTAGGTGACAGAGACTCTGTCTTAAAAAAAAGAAAAAAAAATTACCAAGGAGCAATGTTCCATGCAAAGGAGGAAAAAGAATGGGAATGCAGAATTCTGCTGGGGCTCCTCCATCCTGTTGGGGTGCCTCACCAGCCACGGCCACAGAGGGGCTAACCTCCCCCCGCTTCCTGTCCCCGCCCCCCACCCGCCCCGCTTGTGGGCACCTGGGCTGGGTGTGGCCTCCAGAGCCTCTCAGCTAGACTCCAAAGCTGTTGAACACAGAGAATGAAGTGTGCAGAGCTCACAGGGCAGTGCCCAACAGTGGCCTCAGAAGCCCTGACCACCTGTTCCTGGCCTCTCCAGACGGCTTTGGGTCCTAACCATCTTCCAAACCTAAGCCTCCCATTTCCTGGGATTCTATGAGTCCCTGGTATCATTCCAATACATTTTTTTTTTCTTTATAACAGATTCAGTTTTCATTGCTTGTCACTGAAAAGTTCCTAGCTGATATGAATTCGGTACTGGAGTGGGTATTGCAAATTATGAAGAAGAGGAGAGATAAGAAGTATCTGCGATTGGTTATCTGCCTTAGAGAGGGGAGGAGAGAGCCAATGCTCTGACGATATTCAGAGATAGGAATGAAGCAGCCCAGGAAATTCAGTAATGAGTTCGCCTGGGACATCACGCCAACTGCAAGCCCGGCTCTCGGAGACTATGTTGCTTCCATCCTGAAATTGTATGGGTACGAGAAATCCAAGGCCGTAGATGGGTGGCTGCTTTTAATGGCGATGAAAAACTTGGAGAATAAGAAGTTCAACTCTCTAAAGTCTGATTTCAAGTCACAGGCTGAAACCTAAAGACTTCCTAGAACCATACAGAATTTCATCCCTTACCGATGCAAGGCCAGGATGGCTGAAAACCCAACTTAAGAATCTGAGCCTTTGGCTGGGTGCAGTGGCTCACACCTGTACTCCAACCACTTGGGAGACCGAGACAGGTGGATTGCATGAGTCCAGGCGTTCAAGACCAGCCCAAGTGACATGGTGAAACCCCTGTCTCTATAAAAAATGCAAAAACTAGCCAGGAGTGGTGGCATGTGCCTGTAGTCCCAGCTACTAGGGAGACTGAGCCGGGAGAACTGCTTGAACCAAGACCCAGGAGGCAGAGATTGCAGAGAGACAAGATCACTTCAGCCCGGGCTACAGAGCGAGATTCCATTTTAAAAAAAAAGAGACCCTAAAATACGTAGAGCTGGCTAAGGACACAGGGCCAACCCCATTATGTGTGTATGAGGCCACTGATTAAAGTGTTACCTGTCCCAGGTGTGGCCA